AAGTCATGTCCTTAATGTAGGTCAATATGCAAAACATGCAAACTTGTTGCAGCTGCACATCATTATTTCAAGAAAATCATATTTTTTTTTTGTTGTATTTTTTTAGAGAAAGCATGATGAAACACTGCGGCGGTGTCCTAGAAAATCCTCAGATTTATACATATTTGATGAGAGGGAGCACAAACAAAATGTCCCGACCAGCATAATGAGATAGATAGAGGGCAACATGCAGTGCCTGGCTTGAAAACAGATATCATGTGATTTGGGCAAAGCTATGCTTTACACAAATGTTTAGATGTTACCGTAGGTTTTCTTTAATTGATGTAGAATAGAGAAACAAATCACTTTAAGACGTACATTTTTGTATAATTTTTTTTCTGTTTCAGTAAGAAGTGTTACATTCAAGTTACATAGTACGGATCAGCTTTTAGGTCCTTAGTTCAGATCTCAGCCATTCACACCTCTCTGTGTTGGTTTTGTGATACTTTGGCTTCCTTTCATTGATCAACATTATTTATGTCAGAGTAATACTAATGAACCATGTCACTTTTGGATGCAATGAGTGTATGCATAGTGGTTCAATTATTTCCCATAAGTCTACTCCTATCAGTGTATACAGAAAGTCAGATGTGTTAAATTTTCAGTATCATTGTTTCATCATGAAAGTTGTGTTAATGTAACCCTTTTTTTCTAGTTGAACTATGTGAGAGGTAGTTTCTCCAGGGAGTTGGTCTTAATCCAGAGTTAAATCCAAGGAACTTCCTGCTACTAGACGGTCACCGGTTCAAATCCACCCTCAGTTGCTGTGCCCCTGGATAAGACACTACCAGGATTGTCTTCTCATGGTAATCAGAGGGCCTGGTGCCACTAGTGCACTGTAGCCTTCCTTCTGTCAGTCTGCCCCTGGACAGCTGTGGTTATGATGGAGCTCACCAGTGTTGTTCAATTTTGACACAGTACACTAGTGTTAGATAAATTCAACACTTATCAGGGTTGAATTTAATGTCACTTGGTCGGTAGGTGGTGCTCCTTTTCATAAGATGGCGATTCAGTTGTAAACCTGACCTGCTCTGTAGGTGGTAAGGTTTTTAGATAAGTTACTACTGAGATAAACTGAGTTAAGAAGTGAGCTTTCTTTTTAATACTCTAAATCCTGGCCTGAACCTGAAGTTACCTCCCTGAGCTTCTTATCCTGCTTTGTAGCAACAGCCTCAGGTGACAGTTGGGATTGTCTCCAGGTCTCCCATAACAAAAAGCATGAAGGAGGTATGAAAAGGAATCAATACTTTAGATATAGTACCTATTCATTCAAAAACTTTACCAGTAACGGTAAAACAATTTTGAAGTTTGACTTTGGCAAGTGATTAGGGTTTCTTAAATAATGTGTGTAATGTCCTTCATCTATTTGTCCCAAGTAGGGACTTTTCAAGGAAATTTCTCCTTACACTCATTGTCATGTCATGGTGAACGCTTTTCTTATTTAGATTTTTGTGTTTCAGATTAAGTACTTCAGGACTTGAGACTAAGATTTCTACTGAAGTCTAAATACTTTGTATGTTCAAAAGTTGGAAATAATTAAAAGAAAAAAATCAGTGCAAGTAGTATTGGAGATATTTAATTTGATAAGTCTCTTATTGATTAATTATTAGAATGCGACTTAGCATTTAATATGTTGTTTATATGTTCCGAGGTAGATAAAATTATGTATTATTAAAAGTTGGAACATATTAGGTGCCATTTACTATTACAAAATTTTAGTGTACCTAAATGAAACCAATTGTATTTACACATTTCTCAAAAGTCTTATCTCCCTGATTCTTTCCTGAGAAGAGATTACTGGGAGCAAACACATTAAATAACGGTTTCTATTGTGTGTATATATATACATGAATATAAAACAAGAAGGCAGGTTTAAAGAATTTAATCTTACTCAGACCAGAGAAATAAATCAGGTTACATATGGTAGGCCTACCGCTTCACCAGGAAGGGCCCAGAATAACAATTAAAATGGCATCTTTTTTAGGGTGACCATATTTTGATTTTCAAAAAAAGAGGACACTTTGCCCAGCCTCGAGCCAGATTCAGACAGGCTTCTCAAAAGTTAATGAACATGATTTATTATACCTAAATTGTACTAAAATAACCATTGTAGCGAAACAAAATCTGTTACAGCCAGTAACAAAATTATAGTTTTGTTTTAACATACATAAATAAAATCAAATAATGTTCTAAATATGACTTCCTCTTTATTAGATAATACTGTGTCAGGTCTAAACTCCTAAAACATTATACAAACAAGGAAAGAAAGGCACAGAGTCAGAATTCTTTTTACTCACAAGGAGAATAGGAAGAGACTGTACAGTTACAATCTCCAACCCACTCTGCTGGTCTCAACTTTCTCCTCGCTATTTATTAAAGTCAGAGGGGTCCCTAGTTACACAAGCTGCACTAAAGGAAAGGGGAACAAAATGACCAGGCTTCCAACCTCAGCGCATATGTCAAAACAAAGCATGTGATTGATTTGCAGATAAGCATGTTCCAAGCATAGATGTTTCAAAAGTGACTAGTTTCAGCTTGAAAGAGGATGTTCAGGCCTCTTTCACAACTCATCATGACATCAATCAGGAATGATCTTCAGCAAGAGTTAATAAGCAATGAATAACACATTATACATCCTAATAGTTCATTAGCACACAACCCATGAAACAACATAACGGAGTAAGAGTATAGGTAAAATATTTCTAACATACTGCTTCAACAAATTTTTCTAGGTCATACAAAGTCCTCAGTCAACTTTGCAGAATAGATCTCATCTCGCACAGCTTTTTCATTTTTTTCAGTGTCTATGTGAGCTTTGAGATCTCCTGCACCTTTATTATACACTGAAAGATATTTGCCAGCTTTGCACATGGTGCACCCAGCTGCCCACTTGACTTGGTAGGTACTTTTCTTTGGAGTTCATCTGTGAAGCTGCACCCTAGTTTCAGCATTTTGTGACCAATGCAGGTTGCTTTGCTCCGTGTGTGTGTGTGTGTGTGTGTGTGTGTGTGTTTGTGTGTGTCGAAGTCTTGCTAGACTCTCCCATAAGGCAGTCCCTTGAGAATTACGTTGGGCAACAAAGTACTGTAGTATTCTGTGCAAAGCGCCAGTCAATTTAAGCATATGTTTATAGTCCTTTGAAAAGCAGTGAAAATCAGACAATTTCTAATATTTATAATTCCCCTCCAGACACCCCGGACAGGATGTAAAAAGCGAACATGTCGGGGAAAAGAGAACGTTTGGTCACCCTAATCTTTATAGATCTGAAGAGTCACACCCTGCCACATCATCACATCACACAACATTACATCATACATATATTGTTTGAAAATGATGAGACGTTACTGGCTCGAGCCATATCGAGTTAATACATTCTAAGATCAAGGACAATCTGATGTACACTGCCAGAGTTTTCTCTGTTAAGGATAATCATCTCTCATTGTATTCTCCCATTCATAGCCTCTATTTTATAGTGTCATATCATAGGTAGGAAAACTATCTAATACATCTAACACACCTAATAGGTAGGTAGCATTACGGTTTAACAAGCAAATGTTTTTATCACTAAGATTAATCCTAACAGTACAAAAGCATACTCTTTTAGGATAAGCCCTAGCTCCTCCTGAAAAAAAAACTACTTTATTGTAACTGAGACAAGATACCAAAATACATTTGTGGGCTTGGTATGGTTAAATTACTGATGATTACTCATAAAATTTCTTTATTAAAACATGTTAAGAAAAATTAAAACAACTGTTTGAACAAGAACAGTAGAATGTGTGATAATAATGAAAGGTCATCATATAGAAAATGTGTAGGTTGATTACCCCACCCTCCCTTCCATGTACGGTTTGTGTACTTCCAAAGATGATGAAAATTGTGGACAATCACTTACTTTATCCTTAAAATGACTTGTACCTTCTGATATATTTCACTTTGATCATACCATCTTAAGTTCACATACATACTATTAAATTAATGGTTTATGATATGTCATACCTGTAGTGAAGAAAACATCAAATTTATTATAACTGGTTTTGTTTTATTACTTTGATCCATTCAACATGACTTTACATCACTCTTTTACCTATTTAGTTTGTTTTTGTTTGTTTTTGTCTCTTATTTTCTCTCTATCGTTGTGTGTGTGTGTGTCTGTGTGTTGCATCACTTGTGGTAGAATCAAAGCAGGTCTGCTCCCTGTCATGTGCTTTTGAGCCTACTGCATTGTGACGGGTCAGAAAAAGACACCTCTTGATGGTGACTGACATAGAGTATACAACAGTGGACATATTTGAAATGGATGGGTGTTTGATCCTGAATGCTAACAGGTGCCTTGTAGCCTTTGAGCTTTATTGATGTCAATGGAAGCCCAGCTGTGAAATATGACATTCTACATACCGTTCAGCAAACCATGCTGGTGGTTAAAGTGAAAATGTCTTTGCCTGTGTGTGTGTGGGGTGTGTGTGTGTGTGTGCATGCACATTGACCTCTGTATGAAGGAATCAGACCCAGTGGAAAATCTTAAGTAGTTTTTATCCATGATTAGCAAAGCATTGCACTCCTCTGTAGGGTCAGTAATGCCTGAGGCCAATTCCTACCACGTAATGATTAAAAAAAAAATTTTTTTTTCTAGAAATGGCTGTGTGTGTATATATATGTACTAAAATATATATATGTATATATATATATATATATATATATATATATATATATATATATATATAAGTACAATCTAGGTTGAAATAGTTCAAAGCACACTGAAGCATCATTGCACTTTCAGGTTGATAAAATCCTGAAAATAAATAGTTTCTTGTGCAGAGAGATTGTATACTGTATACCGCACCCGTCTGAATGTAGCTTTATTGTGTTGCCTCACATGAATTTGGTCATGCACCTTATGCAATTTGTAGTGCATTTACTTCAGTCTTGCATGCTTGTAATGTGTTATTGTTTCCTCCCAGGGCACAAGCGACTTCTGTGTATCTCCAAATAAATTCATTGTTAACCAAACCAAGGATTTCCTCACTGCAGGTGATTTATCTCTAAAGACAATTGCACAGACACCAGCTTCTGTCTCTGAACATTAAGGCATGATATTAACCTTCCCGTTTCTCTCACCTTACAGATGTTGCACACTATTATTTGTTCTGCAGTCCGAATCTACAAAACCCCTTTCAGCAGGTATTGACCAAATGTGCTAGCGTTCTTTTTAGCCATGCAGTCATTTTCAATAAATCAAACAGTGGTAAATAGATTGCAGTTTTAAAAGGTGGGCACTTTCTTTGTGAGATGCAACTATTTTGTAACCATCCTTTAGATGTTGGGGGGAAAAGTTAACAGCAAACTATGATATATAGTAGGATTATCTAATTCGATTTGCAAGTTTCAGAAAGGTTTAAATGTTTTTGTCTTGTGCATAGCCAATTAGGTGCTTTTATCTTTGTTTTCAATAAAGCCCAGAATCTTTTCTTCCTGTTGGTGGATTCAACTAAATAAGATGTTCATTTATGATGACCAACAATGTAATGATTTCTCTAATGATAATAAAAACTATTTCAAATAAAGAAGTACTGTAATGCAGAAGTTGATACAAAAGACGAAGAATGTGGTATGATGTACTGACCACAACCAAATTATTAAAAAGGCTTTTTTTTTTCTCCATTGTGATATTTATATTTTTCTGAAAAACTATACTTCGTCCTAATTAGCTCTATGTCGCTCGTTAAAACCAACAAAAGTAAAACACTGAAATACAACTCTGTGTATGTAATTATCTATCCAATATTACATATTTTTTCATGATCTCTAATATTTAAAGGCATGCTCAATTTTTACATTTTAAATATTATTTGCTTATCAGCATTTTAAATGATTTACTGATGACACATTTATATTCCTTCTACATTCCAAAAAACAACTATTTGCATATAAAATGCAGATGTATTTTTATAATCCCCCAACTACTAATAACAGCAGAAATGCGACAGCTGTCATGCATTCTTGTTAAAGCTTGTTCAATATGCAGCCTTAAAACTGAACTATTGCCTTTCAGAAACTCATCATTTTCTAGGCAAACCAGACTGAATCATGAAACCTTGTCAAATATTTACAAAACACACTTCACCATATTTAAGTTTAACATTAAGGACAGTTATATTGACTACATTTTAGATTTTTTTCCATAACAGATGGGGGAATCTGGAATAGCTTAGCTTCCACAAGGGATATAATACATGATATCCCTTTGGGAGGATAAATCCTTGCCTTATAACTATTAAAAACCAGCATGTTTAGCTGTCATCATTACACCCATTTATGCATTAAAGTGATGCCTGCTTTCCCTGATGAGATAATCCTAAATTTGATGGTCCAATTGATCTAAATATTGCCCTTTTGTTTCTACCTAAGATTAGTGGGGTGGAGCATTGTTTTCATCGGATAATGTAGGCCTTTATGTCTAATGTTGCCTTCATTAAGCCGCTCTTAGCACCAGATTATTTGTTTACATGCTAGAAACTTCAAAACAATGCTCCACTTAATAAGATCCTCACATTGTTTACATTTGATAACATCCTTGTGATGTAATGACTGGTTGTGCTTTTTTTTTTTTTTTGAAGTCTCTAACCATCTGCCAGCGCTCACTGACCACAATGCAAATCCAGATCCAGGGCCTGCTGCAGTTTACCGTGCCCATTTTTCCAATGGCTCAGGCAAGTGGTGGCCCCAATAGCCCATTATTACCCCAGGCTGTAGAAGGTTGCTTATCATTGTCTCCCCTTGCACACCTTGTTATACAGAGAGACCTTTTAGGGATCCAGCGCCTGTTAAACTCCACAGAGTTCAATGTTCACCAGCTAACAGCCTTGCTTGACTGCCGCGGGATACATAAGGTAAGGTCAGAGTCTGACTGGGACACTTTTAATAGGAACCTTTTATAACAGAGCTCAAAGCCACTTAGAAGTCCAGCTTGAATGATTTTTGACCTTTGCTCTATTTAGTTCTCATTCTCTGACACCCTTTTTTTTTGCAGTTTTCACACTGTCTGTTTGAGAGGCAGACTTCATCAAATTCAGATTGCTGTTAAAAAGAAAAAACAGACATACAACCTATTATATCTGCTTTTATTTAGGATAAGTCTTTGTATGTATCATAATTGCAATAAGGACTGCATTCAAACGTCAACCTGATTTTACAAACTAAATCGACTCCTACCAGGAACGTATTCCAATCAAATTACATATAGTATACAATTCATTTGTTAATTGACTATTAAATCTACCCTCTTAGACACATCTTTCAACAAAAGCTGGAGCTACCATCTATGTAGTCAATGATATAATAAGAGGCACAGCATCCAGCTTATCAGCAGGGATTAGTAATGACTACTGTATGGCCAGTGATTCTTGTCAGAAACCGGCATCTATTTAACGTAATTTAAGCTGTAAGATGTTAAATGATCATCTTAAGAACTTTAACCACTCATGTCCCCATTTGAATTTTCCCATTTCATTGTTTTGTACATATTAGCCTGAAGAAATTATAAAAAGTTGTTTTCTGCTTGCATCCTCTCGCATGGTGACATGAATTGGCAATGCATTCAGTGTCCCAGCGTGCAATCTGTAATCATACCACTTTAGCCTACCCAAATATCATCTTTCCATCTAAATGCTGAGTGATGGGGATTTCTTCGTTACTTCTTCAGGCTTGTGTTGCCTGGAAAGATGGCAGTGATAGAGGCTACATTGCAGGTTCATGCATGGTGTGACTAACTGATAGACCTGGGCTCATTATTCATCTGTCTGCCTGGTGATATGGCTAATGCAGCAGTTCTGCAGAAGCATTGTTTTGACAGAAAACTCGGTTTAATCTATTCTGTTCATGACACAGTAAGTTTTTTTTTCTAAATTCTTGGCACTAAAAGAGCTCTAAAACTATTTGGATAGATCTGTTTTTTTTTTTCCGGTATATTCTATTCCTCTTCTGAAACCAGTCTTATACCTTTTATGTTTGCCAAATGTTCCTAAAATCGTAAACATTATGCCGTAGCCTTACATCATGCAATCTAAGGCCCTTGTTAAATTAATTTAACAACCAAATTTGCAGATGAATGTGCTCAAAAGATGCATGTGCAGGTTTCTTATGCATTTTGAGATGTCACCAAGGACACATGGAAGCATGTTTTCGCTTGGGTTTGTGTGGATTTTATCACATTTAAATGATTTACTGTGAAATAATTAACCAATGAAAACTGACCCTGGAATGTTTGTCAGTTAGTTTCTAATGCTTTCATAGAAAAAAAGGCCTTGTCTGCAATTTGGTAAGTAAAGGAAAACAATAATACATCCTTAATATGCATTTCTGGATCAGTACCTCTGTGGTTCTACTGGAGGGGCGTATTGTCAACCAGAACAAAACAAAGCCCCCTGTATTTTAAAGTCTTGGTTCAACATTGCTAATGAACTTCTCTCGCTTTGAAATACATTATACTGTAAGTAATAATAGGGATGCAACAGAACTCAAACAAACACATGAGCCAGTTGTATTTATACAAAAACCATGCAAATAGCCTTGCATTAAAATCAGTTTCTCTGTAGGAAAAGTGTGCACTGGGGGTTTGCTTGTATCATGAAAAGCTATGGAAATATCTGTGCAAGTGGAAATGGCAGTCAGCACATTAAGTAAAAGAGAAAATGTATTTTTATTACCAGTGTTGTAGAAGAATCCCTGTGCGTCTAATGGTCATGATCTTATGTTTGAATATTTGTATTTTCTGATGGGAAATATTTCTTCTGAAGTCTGAAAACTGACTCTTTCAGGACTACCTGGATGCCCTAATGGGTGTGTGTTATGATGGAGTGGAGGGGCTCCTTTACCTCTCCTTGTTCTCTCTTCTGGCCGCCTGCACACTCTCTGCCATGTTGTGTGTAATTTTCCGACTGTGGACATTAATGGGCGGCAGGTCAGCACTGAATGAACCCCATTACCTTGTTGCTTACTGTCCACCATGTAGTTCAGGGAAATGTTCACCATGTCTTGCTGTCTATACCCCGGTCTTTCTGTGTGCATGTTTAACTCTCATCCAGGGAGAAAGAGTACAACGACATCGATGAGGAGGACCCGTTCAACCCCCAAGCACGCAGGCTGTCCTTTAACCCCAGAAGGTCCAACACGCACAGTTTCTGCAGCTACATCAGCAGCCTTGGCAGCCAGGCCAGCCTTCATCCTCCTCCTCAGTCTTCTTCTAATTCCACAATACAACCTCCTGAATATATGTATGATCAGCTGCAGATTGTGTTGCTCTCCAGTCTGCATTTATGGGCTCTTATCATGTTTTCTCTTTATGTTACAGGAATCAGTCCATGCTGTTTGGAGGAACCCCTCGATATGAAAATGTGCCACTCATAGGGGGAGGATCTCCACCTCCTTCGGTTCGTTTGCCTTATGAGGCTCTGGTGACTATAGTCTGAAAACGAGGATATGTAATAGCATAGAGAATGAAAATATTGCCAATACAATGCACACAGGGTGGGCATCTAGTCATGGGACTTTTGCTACAGTTGAAGTGACTAAAGAGTGGCCTCTGCTGGGCATTTGTAGAAATGCAATCTATCTCTGGACGTTTTCTTGTCCGCTGTTAGTATAGCTGTCTGAATTTTTGTCTCTTCTGAAATAAAGATTCATTCCCTATTTAAGATTAAGTCTTACCTTATGTGCAAATTGCCTGCAAGGTGGCTAAGTGCAACATGCATTGCTCCAAATTAGTAAAACCAACTTAACTGTGGCATAGTGTTTGTTTTGTCTTCAAAGCTTTGGGATGAATAATAGATAACAGATGGAACCTAGATAAATTCACAGTCCACAGCTCTGCTGTGTGATTTTTTTTTTTCTTCCTGGTAAGATTTATTTTTTCTTCTGTTGCTTGAACAGCCTTCACAGCATACCAAACACCAAAAACACCTTTTGAGTGGGTAAGACAGGCAAGAGTCTGGATCATTGTCTACAATTTTCCTCTGTAAGGCAGATTTTTATCAGTCAGAGACATCTCTGTTCTCTGCGTGCTCATGACAGAGTATCTTGAAGCTTTTAAAAATGTATTTCAAATAAAATCTTCGGTTTTTCCATGCTTGTTATTGTTTTGGTTTCTTATACTTTGGTTTAAGTGTATCAGCAGCTCTGCATTTTTCTGTGTTCTTTTTTATATGAAGGTATTTTCTTCAGTGGCATGTCTAACAACTTTGTGAAAAACTTTTTTTTTTTTTTTCGTTTCTCATCTCAGACTTTGATAACTGTAAGTTTGTGTTCACCTTTTTCCCCTTTTCACTTCTTTGAATCCATCTTTTTTCACACACCATAGAATCCTAATCATGTTTGTGCAGAATATTGTAACTTTTACCTGGCAACACTCAGTAAACTCACCTCTGACCTTCTGGCGCTGTCTGAATGTTGCATGTGAGTGTAACCTGACCTTTACTTATGCTCCTTGTGTTCTTTTACCCGTTTGTTTTTTTTACTCCCAGGATGTTTGTTTTCCTTCCTCCAAATTATTCAATCTTCACAATAACATGGCAGAATTGAAAGATTATTCTCCAAATCTATTCTATATTATTAAACTTGTTTTTATATTGTACTTATAACTAAACAACATCTACAGAATATTTATGAATCTTTATATTTCTTTCTTTTATCTCCAGTATTCACCCAGTATGAGGGCCACCTACCTGTCCATGACTGATTCGCAGATCAGGCACTTGAGGACTGATTTCCAGGTGTAAGCTGCTGCCTGCTGAACCCTCCTCTGTGCATCAGTCAGAGCTACTGATCCCCCGCTGAGAAAGCTGTCTTCATGACATAATCCTATTTACAGGAATAACAGATTTTTGTCCAATCTCAAGCATGAAAACAGCCCATATGACAGTAACTTCAATAAGATGCCAGCGAACTGCTTAAAAAGGCCTGAATGCAGTTTTGACAGCGATGGCCTGAGATACTTTTATGGAAACAACTGAAATGGAAACATTTCTGACTGTCAGATCCAGAGCTTTGAACTGAAATAATCCAACTGTGTCTTTTTTTTTTAAATATCATGTGCAAAGCTAGGACAATCGTGAATCATTGATTTCATTTTAATACTAAATGAGCAGTGGAATTTGCTACTTTTAGACCCTCAATTTGTGTTTGTTTTACATTGTCACGTGTTTAGCAGCAGTGTGATAATGTTTTTGTGACCTAACATGGTGCAATATCAAACACTTTTCTAAAAATGCATACCTGCATATAATGAAACTGGATTATATCTTTCTGTTTGGTGTAGCAGAGCCAAAGATGCCTTTATGTATGAGTCTTATTGACACACCAGAGTTTTTTTTAATGCACTATATGAGGATGTAGATGCATGTGTGTTATAAAATGGACATGTAAGTCCCCAATTTTATCAGACTTATCCAATTTTGTCACAAGTGAGGAAAAAAATAAATGTATAAGCAAGAAGAAAAGGTTTGTTAATACACTGTGACTCATATAAAATTAATAAAGTGAAAAAGGAATACAAATCTTGAAACCAATTTTCTCCTTTCTTCAAGAATATTTCTGGAAGTTGTATTATTTTCTTTTTTTTATGTTGGCTAATGTTTTAATCTCAGATTAGATGGACCTGTAATTATTATACTAGCTGTTTTATTGGGATTTAGTTTGAGCTAATGTCAAAGGAAACTATCTTATGTACGTTAAAGGAGAAATTATAAAATGTAGGTTTTAAATTATTTTTCATTCAACAGAAAAGTTAATTTCTAAAAAGGAATATGTGGTATATTTAATCTCATGTATATCTCATTGTAAAACATGGTACATGTATTGTAAATTTTTCTTCTTAATAACCAATTGGAAAATCTATATCAAAATAATGCCATTCTCACTGTTTTCTAACAGTTCTAACAGTCCAAGTGGTATTTTTATAATTTGTTTACTTGATGTGCGTGTTTTAGGTTGGAAGTTCTGCTCAGATATTTTTTTTAATTCCCTCCACAGATTTGCATTCAGAATCAAGCTGAGACTCTGGCTATGCCACTTCATGCGGTCAATATTACAGGCATAATGTTAATTGAATTAAAAGTAGTTACTTCCAACCTAAATCTGTGTAGTGTATAAGTAAGTTTAGGCTTCAGTTTAGATCTAAATTATGTCTAAACGTCTTCCTCAGATTTCAAGCCTTCAGTTTATCCAGTTTATCCAACTTTATCCCCAGCAAATGTTCTGATAAAAAAAACTCTCTCTCTCTCTCTCTCTCTCTCTCTCTCTCTCTCTCTCTCTCTCTCTCTCTCTCTCTCTCTCTCTCTACATACATATATATATATATATATATATATATATATATATATATATATATATATATATATATATATATATAAGGATAGATCAAGGATAGATCAAATTTCTCATAAAAGTAGAATTGGAAGCAGTCGTTTTACTTTTCAGTCATCTCTCCCACTGAACCAACTACCAGATTCGACCTATGAGGGCAGAGAGAGTGTTTTAGTACGGTTTTGGTTTATAGAATATATTTTAAAGTTTTTGAGCAGCATTTTTAGTTTGTCCTGTCAGTCTTTGGCAGTCTGGTCTTGGGATTTTGAATGATGCCATTGCTAATAGGCTCTCGCCGTTTCTTACTGATAAGAGTTTAAAAAAAATGACCCTATGAAAAACAGTTGGTAGAAAAACTCAAAATTCACTGGTAGAGTAATGATCCGCCCCAGCTGCAGTTGCCACCTGCCCGCTGCAATTGTGACACTGACTGCCACACCCCTGCATGATTTCCCAGAGTGTAGAGCAGTGCGAAATTACAGGAGTAAAGTAGCTGCATGTAAAAATGAAAGAATTATATTAAAAAGTAAATGAAACGTCAGCAAAAATACTTTAGTGAAATGTCAGCTTTTTCAAACAGCTAATTTAATTTAGCTTGTACCGACTCTCTGCTTTGTCCATTGTTGCCCTCTGAAATTAAAAGTTATCTCACGTTATCTTATCAGTTCAGTTTTGTTAAGATTAATATTTTCAAAAAATTAAACAACTTTTTTATGATTTCATGTTTGTTGCTTTGATTGTTTTTGCGTGTATTTTAAAGACAACTTTTCCAATATATCATTTACAAGAGATCTTTTCGGGATAAACACAAACAAATTTAAAATATTTTACTTTGATGTATATATGATCCTGTTCTTGTGTTGGTCTCGACCTCTAAATACCTTGGCCTTGTCCCAGTCTCTGTACTCCCTGGTCTTAGTAATATCTTGGTCTCAATTGGTGCGTTCTTGACTAAAAAACTAGCCAAAGATCTTGTCTAACTATCCTCAAGCATGAATTTCTTCAGTTATTCCTATCTATGTTTATTGTTATGCCTCTATAGACCTACCACACATTACTAGCATGCAAATCCCTTCTGATGTTTCCACTCAGCGATCCTATCTCACCCTTAGTGGAATAGAGATTATATCTTACTCCTTTATTGACACCATTTAGTGCTGAGTCGTTCTTAATACTTTCAAACCATAAGCTGGAACCTAAAAACTGCAAACTTAACAGTATACCTTTCTTTATTCATTTCATTCATTTTCTCAATCCACACCTTTTTTTCTTTTGGGAATTACCCTAAAAGGAACAGAATATGTATACGGCCAAGTGCAGAGGGAAAATTCCATTGGCCAGAAGGTTCCTCTTGGCTCTGTCCACTTCATATCTCTCTTGATCACTCCCTTTTTTTTTAAAGCTATGGACTTTTTAAGGAGGACACTGACATAGAGCTTGAACTGAGAGAGTTCTTTTTTCCCCTCTTTCTCTCTATACCATTGATAGATACATCTTGCCTGCCATTGTTTTTCTCTTAAGCTGTGTTGGGTTATCTGCTGGGCTGCTACTGCTTGTGACTTCCTACTATCCTATAAATCATACATGCTTGTGCAAAGTTTGCCAGGTCATGGCTACAAAAACCTATATCTGAGCCAACCAGACAGTTTTCAGTTTTCTTGAAAGCGTTGCAACACCCATCCAGGAGTCCTTGTCAATTCTGATGACTCGCACCAGAACAGCCTCTACTAGATGATCAATGTGGCCTTGTCTATCAGTGGTTAACTGATAGACTAACTTTGTAGATGCTCTCTGGCATCGTATCCTGGTCCGATCCTGGTTCTTATATATTTGTGTGTGTGTAATATTTCTACAACCTTCAGCTGTCAGAGGGATCCTACTCTGACATTTAGAGGAGTTCAAGGTCAACCATTTTTACAAATGGAGCTCAAATTGTAACTTTTTAAAAGTTGGTATGATGTCTTTGCATTAATCTTCTATGTTCTGTTTTCTGCAAATGCTTACAGTAGTTCAAAATGAACAGACATCTCATCCATGGTCTCATGTGTCCAAAAGAAACCAACCAGTAACACAGCAGCTTACATGGATGGTTTACCCTTCCTGATTGCCAGTTGACAGGTGTGATGAGTGTGTGATTTCAATATGTTAGTTACTTGTAGAAACAGGCAAATATGCTCCAATTAACCTTTTTACATTTAATCACAAACACATATATTTAATTAAGATGTTTTGCAACAGATCAAGATCCAGAGTAGCACAGATACAGGAAGTGGAAGAAGGCTAAAGCTCAATATATTAATACTTAGTTTGACTATTTTCAAGGTTTTCTTAGAGAACATCAGTTAAAAAAACAGCATAACAAGGTCAAAGAAACTGAGAGATTATGTAAAACTTTAGAACAGAGCTAAGTTATAAAGCAATGTCTCAAGCTTTGAATATCTAATTAAGCATTGTTCAATCTATTGTCTGAAACAAAAAAGGAATGGTACGACTGTCATTCTATGACGACATACTGTAAATGTCTCAGTAAACTATGAACAATTCATTAAACCATGGAAGCACTAATCAAAGAAGCCCTGAAAAAGCCAAAGACAATTCTGATTTTCCAACTAAGCCAGATCATCCATGAGACATAACAACAATGTTGAAGTAGGTGAAAGGGGGAAATAAATGATGAAATAATTGATTCAGCTAAATACAGGGCAATAAAAGAACAAAACCTGTACACGGAATAAGACTGGGGCAGAGGTGCACCTTCTGGCTTTAGAATTCAGGTTCACTGACTTTAGTTTCTGTCTGCCCTTTCCTGAGCTATTTTTGGAACAAACTCTACATGTGTAAAGCTGATATACGCATAACAACCTCAAAAGACTTGCAGCTAAAGTTGCAGCCTCTTTCCCTCTTGGCCAAATGCTTGGTTTTACAAAGCATTTAGCCAAGAGGGCATGACTGTACACTTCACCCATCTCTTTTAAAACATTGTATGGACAATTAGTTATTATTTCCTTTCAGTTTACAATCCTACACAACTTTCATAGGACAGTGAGATACAATTCAAAGTCACAATACTGAAGCTTGTGACACTACAATCTGAAAAAGTAAAGAATTAAAAAGGGCTTTAAGACCATTGCAAGGTACCCCTCATAATTGTAAGCAACACTGATCATCTAGGAATTTACTTATAGATTGTGATTTTTTTTAGGTACATTTATAATAGGGGCTGTTTCATGATTGCTTTGCTGCTTTTTAAATTAAAGCACAAAATGTGGGTCTCTTTATAGAGTTTTCTAGTGATCAAACGTTTTTTCTGTACATGGTTAAAATATAAAAGGTTTCTATTCCTTTTAAGTGTCATTTATGAAATATATGCCCTATGATAGCTGAGTAGTATAAGTAATGTAAATGGGAACTGTCCAGGGTGCTAGGTTTCTATCAGCAGGGGGTGCTGTCGACCCATATGAAATATTAGCTTTTTCTGCTTATTGAACTCCGATACCAACATGTGACATAAGAAAATTAAATTTTAAAATGTTAGGTGAGTGGTAATAAACATTTCTATACTTCAAAGTTGGAGAGAAATCATCACAGTGACGCAAAGGTCCTTCGTCGCTTGCCGTAGGAAACGAGACGTTTCGAACATGGCGTAAGCATGTAGCCTGCTAGCCATTTGAAGCTGTTTATTACTTGAACCAAAATGCTTATTTAAAGGTCTCATTTGTGTGTCGACAAGGGAGGATGTGTCCAAATAATGGGAAACGTTTTTGGGAGAAAGAGCCGATCCTCTCGTGTAACGGAGCAAGACAAAGCCATTTTGGTAAGCTCAGGATGGAGACTGCAAAAGGCTGATTGTTGTCAGAATAACATAGCAGGGGTTTAGTTTTGTCTAAATATTATTTCTGGTTCTATGATCTTTGCAGCAACTGAAGCAGCAGAGAGATAAGCTTAAACAGTATCAGAAAAGAATCACCTTACAGCTGGAGAAAGAAAAACTTCTGGCTAAGCAGCTGTTAAAAGATGGCAAAAAAGAGTAAGCTGACTTCGAGATTTCAAACCTTCTCATATTGAGCAGACCTTTGCAGTCGCATCCCTTCCTGTATGCATGTTATGCCTTCTGTTTGCAAATAAACGTTTTGTCTTTTAACTTGTGTCTGCAGAAAAGCTCTGTTCCTCCTCAAGAAAAAACGCTATCAGGATCAACTGCTAGAGAAGACAGAGAATCAGATTTCAAACCTAGAGCGTATGGTAAGTATTTTTTTTTTTGTCTGAATTTAAATATAAATTAGTTTTTCTTTCTTAAAAGCTTAGATGAAAATTCCTCCACGTATGAATATAAATCATAGGAACACTTAACCTTAAGATTGCAGAGATGATTTTGATATCTGATGACTTGAAAATCTGCTATAGCTGTTATTAAGGCTGTACCTGCTCATTTTAAGAAATACAATTTTTAACAAAATACGTATTTTGCACTGTCAGCTTGAAGTATAAATGCAACTGTCACTAAATGACATCTAATTTACTGTAACATATAAAAAAATAGGTTCTTAAAATTCAACCAAAAGGTTCATCACTATCTTTTCTGCATCTTTAGAAACATACAAATATAGTAAAGTCTTCCAAATTATAGACAGAGGTATCTTTACAAATGAAACCTGAATGATAACAGTATTTCTTAATTTTTTTTACCTTAAAGGTATATATTGGAGGATGTTCTTCATGTGGGTGGATCATCAAATTAAGTGGTCCTCCTAATTGTCCATCATTCTGTTGATATGTTAATGTAAGGCTTTAAGGCCTACATGCTCATCCCAATTTTCACTGAGGCTCACATAGTGAAAAAATTGCAAATCTTCTCTTGGAAGGAAAGCTTGTATGAGCGACGCGAACAGCAAGTTTTAAACAGAGCATGCACAAGGAGAAATGGGCTCATGCATGCTATCGCACGAGCTTTATAGTAGTTCCCTCTTGGGAGCAAGTACAAGGTTGTGCATGTGCATTTTTTTTTAAATTCCCGAAGATCCTCCAGTATACCTTTAATATATAAGGTGTTTAATGTATATATATGTGTTTAATGAATCCATACATATGCCTTATGATTAATCATAACTCTTTTCAAATTGAATTAATTGTCCCAATGTGTGACAGAGCAAGCATGAGTGTGCGATTAATACAACTTCTATCTACAGTTAGACATGACATATTACTTTTATTCTATAAAGGAGTCAAAATCAATACCAGAGTCATGGTTTAACTTGTAGTTTTTTACGTTTTATTCCACATGTGTGCAATTAGTATATTTAACAATACTAGCTGGAGGCATTAGTCTTTGCTTGTACATACTTTGCTCCATCTTAACTTTCAGTTTTCCAAGACCTACCATTGTTTCCCAGTCCAGCATATTCTATAAAACTCTTTAAAATCTACATACCCCCTTTTCTGACAGAAGCATGTGCATTGTGTTGCATGCATGTGTTGTAATTCTTAACTGGATTGTACTCTGAACTACGTTAATTCTTTCAAAATACAGCAACTATTCAGCGATATTTCCATACACTGTTCCAAAGCAGCAGCTTTAATGTTCTGACTTAATTTTGAACATGAAATAATTTTAATTTAAAATATCATATAAATTAGTATATATTGTCCTGTGGGAGTAAATATGTTTTCTTCTGATAGGTCAAAAACTATTAGATGTGACAGAATAAAACCAACTCACCGTCTTTAAATTGACTATTTTATTTGTTGTCATTTAAGCTGACGTTTTTTGTTGTTTGTTTCCTTTCCCAACAGGTTCAAGATATTGAATTCATGCAAATTGAAATGAAAGTCATTGAAGGACTAAAGATTGGGAATGAATGCCTGAAAAGTATGCACGAGGTAGATATTTGGGTTCTTTCTTCCCTCTCTGTGTAGAAATGTTCTGCGCCCCTAAGCTTTTCATGCATCAGTTTGCACTGTAACAGGGTCAAATTTTTTCCTGATAGGAATGTTTTCAGTAACGTTATCCAACAGTAAGGTGTGAGCAGCTCAGAAGGCTTTTGAATCGTGCTGCAACAGCACCGCTGGTGCACATGGCTTGAAGATTAAAGGATTAGGAAAGAAAAGCCTCTATGACATAAGTCTGACTACTGCAAATGCTTAGACACTCAACCTTTCCTTGGGGAATATTACTTATCAGGCAGAATGTGGAAAAAACAACAAAAACAAATGTTTAGTTAAAGAATAAACTAAAATGTAATCTTGGTTTGTTTTTGACAGATCATGTCAATAGAAGACGTGGAAAAAATCCTGGATGAGACCCAAGAATCAATTGAATATCAAAGGGTAAATCATTTGACTTTGAATTAACCTATATGCACTTGGTTGTAATATAATTTAATTGCATGTTATATACTTGAGGTTGTACGATTAGTAGCCTTGAATTAAGTGTGCAGACAGAATGAGAAAACACGTCTTCATTTTGCTTCTGCAGCAAATAGATGAAATGTTGGCTGGAGCCCTGACACAGGAGGATGAAGATGCAGTTTTAGCTGAATTAGAGTACATCACTCAGGTGAGCTCTTAAATAGATGTTTAACTTTTTTCTTTTTTATTCAGAAACCTACTTTTCAAGCTTATATCTCCTTTTTCTAATAAACCAACACTAAAACACAATGTTGTCCTTGATCAAGTGCTATTAAAGGGTTCTGCGGGTCATTAAAAATCATTAAAAGTCATGAAATTATTATTTTTTTTAAATTAAGGCCTTAATTGGCATTAAAATTCATTAAATTTGATAATCGTGGGATTAAAATGCTTCGGAAAAGAAGCTTGAGGCAGAGAAAAGGCTAGAGAATGGGGAAAAATGCAAATGTGAACCAAAGTGGCGGGAAAACGAGGAACTTGGGACATGGCTGCAGCCTGTCCACGGTGAAGATGACCAAGGATTTTGCCATATATATATATATATATATATATATATATATATATATATATATATATATATATATATATATATATATATATATATATATATATATATATACATAAGTCATGGGTACTTGTTGATGGCATTAAGATTATTTCTAAGAGCATTAAAGGAGCATTAAAAATCATTAAACAAGAGTTACTCATTCATGTATAAACCCTATATTAGTCCGCCCTTCTTCTTCAGCCAACTCGTATCTCTAACATATAATTCTATTAGGTTTGGACATGATTTTAAGCAAGCACCATTCATGTAGGAATCTTCTTACAAGCTGTAAATGAACAGTTGTGCTTATGCAATTATGCAAATTCATAATGATTAAATGCTGAACAGATTTTGTTTTCAATTGTGTTATAATTGCTTTAAATAATACACACTGTCAAACTGTAAGAAATTACTATGTTTCATACTTGAGTGTTGATAGTGGTTCAATGACTCCATTTTATTCTTATTATCCCACAAAATCTGAAACGCTGCAATGCGCTCTAGGATATCTTTAAAAATGATCTGCGTTAGAGCAATCTAACGGGATTAAAGCAACAGTTTTGGTGACCAACACATATTTTATGGATGTCGTTAAAAAAAAAACTGTTTGGAAAATGTAACTTTTAAAGAAAAAATACATATCTGATGCTCAAATTTTGCTCTATAATAATGTGGATTTTCTTGCTTTAAATTACACATAAAAGCCTAATATGCTGCTAAACTTTAATTAAATCAGTTAGATGTACCTCCTTAGAAAATAGAAAAATAAAGAAAGGAAGCATGACACCAGTAGCTGCATCAGATTTGTCCAGGAAAGAGACCAAACTAAACAGCTTTGAGGTGTACTTTCTTCAGGAAAATTAAATGGTGTACACAAAAATATTCTTAGCAAAAGCAATGCATTGCAGTGAGAATGTTGTAACCTAGGTTGCACTTAATAGATTAGTTTGCAAATTTTTTACACATTTTAATATTGGAGCACCTACGGTATAGTTTTAAGAATCATTCATTTATACCACTTTTGGGATTTTCTTTACACAAGATTTGTTCATGAGTGCAAGTTATTATGAAATGTAATCACTCTGATCTAGTCTGAAGAATGAAGCAAACAGAACTGTTTGGATAAAATAAACATGGACCCACTGAAGAACAAGCTAAAATCCCAGTCTCTTTATTGAGGCAGTTTTATGTACAACGGCTGCAAATAAATGAAAAAGAAAAGAAAAAAAGGCAACTTTTCAAGCTAATCTACATTCCTCTGTAAAGCAACAAAACAATAAAACACATTTGGTGGAAGATGTTAAGTGGATTAGAGATTTATTCTTACCTTTTTGGGATTCACTCGAAAAATATCCCACCAAAACCAATTAACTTTTTTACAGTAGTGGCTAAACAAGTGAAGTTTATATACTCCTTTTTTGTAGCTGGAAAACCAACCTTTTCTTGAATTGTTTTAATTATTGTGTGTTTTTGCTTTATTGTCGATATACAGGGAGAAGAGTTAGCACTTCCAGAGGTTCCCTCTGAGCCTGTTCCAGAAATACCAGAATCTGATCAAAGTGAACCAGGTAAACTGGCTTTTTAGTTCCATCCATCTTAACAATAAAAAATAAAATATATACATATGCATAAATATGACATTAATTTTGTTCTTTTTCTGTTTTTAGAGAGGCAAGAAGAAGGGAAGAAGCAACAAAAAGAAATGCTGGCTGCCTAAAAGAGTTTCTGGTTCATATCCAGGGCTACTCTGAAAATCTAATAAAGCTCTTTTAGTTATTTGAGGAACCAACATACATTTTGCACAGTTTACAGGAGCATCATTGTGAAGCTACAACATGGAGTGAAATATTGTGTTTCATTGTTACTGTGCTGGTAAAAGTATAAAGGTAAATTAAAGGGATTTTAGATGTTTTAGAAAAAAATCATTAAAAAAATACATTCATATATTAAACTGCACTAATAAAAACAGTTTGGTCTTTTTTTTCTTTCAAATTGTAGTACAGGTACTCAACCAGAAGATGACACTGTTTACTTTTTTTCTGCGACAACACAGTATATCACACAAACGTTGAGTGTTATTATAATGGCATCAATGCAGTAAACATGTTTTTTTTTTTTTTTATCAAATAATAATAAAAAAATTGTGATGACTTTTGAATATGCATGGGACAGCAAGACTATACAGTCGAGGATTTTTTGGTAAATTGGGACACAAATGTGAAGTTAAAGACAAATTGTCTAACATTTCTGATGGCTTTTATAGGCGAAATGATATATTGGAACCGGATGAGCTGCTTAATGTCTGCGGTTGAACTGTAGATGTATCAGTTTCTTCACTGCAGAGGTGCAATCTTTGCATCTCAATGTGTCATATGATATATAGGGGCATTAATCAAACATAGCACCACAAAAAATATATACCTAATTAAGTAAATCAGTCTTTTTGTGGTACAGGTTTAGAGAAATCAAGAGAGAAATGATGGATAATCAATTTCCACTTGCACAGCGATGTGGGAGGCGTGCACCAAATCTACTATTTAACAAGATAACGCCATATTTAATGGCTGTGGGAAATATGACACTTTTATACTATGAAACAGGACGGGCATTTCATTAATTAGCATTTACTATGTCCTGCATGGTTAATTTAAATAAGAAATACCCCTTCTGATAATTGTACAGCGAGTGTAATTGGAACACATTTACATACTGCATTTGAGCTGCAAGGTGTTAAAAAACACGACGCTCTGGATCGGTCCGTGAAGGCAGCAACAGGCTGTCAGCGCGTGAGAGGGAAGGTGTGTTTAGTTTGTAGGTTTGGGGAGCGCAGCTTCATTCCTGCGGTAGCGTTTCTGTCGCTCGCTGTTACCTCCAACTTGTTTTTTTTTTTTTTTCTTTTTTTTTTTTTAGTATTATTTTCCTCTACCTGCCCACTCCATTTTTTACGCGGATAAACGTTTTTTTACTATCAAAACCGTTTATGGTCCTGGCTGAAGATCTCACCATGTCTCGCACAGACGAGGTTCATCGCTTGACGGAAAATGTTTACAAGGTAAGTCTGAACTAATTGATAAAGTTTGGATGTATGCACGAGTTTAGCGGTTCATAAGTTACCCCAATTTTTCCTTCTCGATTCCTATAAGAAAATGCACAAAAGCTGAGTTGGTTTGTTTGTTTTAATTTTCTTGTCAAAATAAACAAATTCCCACTGTCCTTTTTTTTTTTAATGTCTCACAGGTTAATTACACCGACACCTTTCAGGAAAACCAATCCCTGACCCACAAAATCAGGGTCATATCCGCATCAAACTCAGGCCTTTTAAATTAGTTTGTGTACTGAGCTCATGACAGTTTAGGTTAGGGCTATTCACTGCAAACTAGTAGATTTATGCAAGCCTGATTCTTTGAAATGGGAACATTCTGCATTCCAATGGACTGTGTTCGACAGGGAGGGTTGAGCCTCTGTTGCAACAAGTAAACATTAGTCCTCTTTCTCTCAAACCTGTTTTTCATACAGAGACCTGTGTGGACTTGGCAGGCAGGATTTAATCCTTCATTACAGGAATGGGGGGGAAAAAATGTGATTAATTTTATTAGTGGTGAATAAAAGTCTTAGATTTTTTATTTTTTTTTGCCACGCTTTGGGTTCTATGATGTATGAAATAACAGCCGGATAAAATGCTAAACTTACAGGTGGACCATTTATTATAGAGTTTTAACTGTAATTGAGGAGTAACTCATTTAAACATAGTGCTGGCTTCCCTCTACACTGTTTGTCATGCCTCAGAGGGTGTGTGTCTATATATAGATAGATAGATAGATAGATAGATAGATAGATAGATAGATAGATAGATAGATAGATAGATATATATATAGATATCTGCATCACACTGATAACACCAAATCAAAAATACTGCATATTTGCACCATGTTTATTAATGCTCTGACCTTCCATATCAATGCATTTTTTGCACCATTTTTTTTTCTTTGATCACTGCTGCACTTTTTAGAATGGAAATGTTAATTTACTGTCTGAAAAGCTCTACTAAAAGTTGCCGAAGTCTATATCACAAAGTTTATTTAATTTATGTTTTGGTAAGTTGAAGTTTTTCTACATCTAACCTTTTATATATTTCCTACTGGATGAGTGTATCCCTGCATATTGTAACATTAATGTAGATTATTATTAAACTAATTCCGTACTAATTGTTTTTGTACAAGGTTCACTAAATGAAGCACATTGTATGGCCTAATTACATGATGATGTTTGCAAACTCATTGGTTAATTATATATTTTTCGCCCTACAGCTATTGATAACATTACATTTGAAGTTAGCATATTACATCAGATCAGTAAAAACCTCAAATTTCTAATGCCTCAATATAGAGCCTAATTAAAACTAAAGTTTTTTTTTTTTCAGGAAGTTCTTTCAGTCTGACAATGACCCTCATGTTCTAACTTACTGAATCTGATTGTACATCCTTTGCTACCTTTAATTAATGTGTCTTTTACATTGAAACCGGCTGCTGTACAAATATCCACCATACATTTCTGGCAAACTTTTATGTTTGAACTGAGATTATGTTTGAACAGGACATTTTAAAAATGAAAAACAAAGGATACATGTTGTCTAGGATCAGAATAGTTTTGCTGCCTCATATGTCTTATCTCTTGGTCGGATCTCCTGCACTATTAGGATTACTCCCTCTTTTTATTTCAAGTCATGGGCTTTATTTAAGGAAGACATGTTATAGGTGTCTACCGTTTAGGGTCAGTGGAAGTTGTCTGGAGATTGTTTTGTTCATTCAAGTGCAAACGCAGCAGTGAACCTTGGTCACAGGGGAGGAGGCAACCGTCAGAGCCCTGACAGGCACGAACTCTGAGGGGCAGTGGAGTGGGAAGGCAGTCCCTCTCCCACTCTGGGGATCTGACCCTGTGGCGAATAACACCCAAGCAAAAATGCTATTTTCTGCTCTAAAAAAACTAGTCCTGTACAGAATTTGATCTTCTTCTACTTTTTGGAGTTTTAAGACAAAAATCTGAACATAATCAGTAATCCAAAAAAATTGGATTTAATCATTATTGCAAATAATAAAACCACACAGAGTTATCACACAAACAAAAAAAAACAAACAAAAAAATTAAAACTATTCAATACTTTAGATGCATCAAAAATTGTTCAGAGATCAGATATCATCAGTTTTGCATTAAATATCTGTCATCAAAGTTCAGCAAATATTTCATTTAATATTTTCCTCAAAGCTAAGATCAACAACCAAATTTAGTAAACAAATGGTCAAACTGCATGTGATTTTTTATTTTTTTTTTTGTCTAGTTATAAACTCTGAGGTACAGTAAAGTTTATATTGGGCAAACAAACAAACCCTGATACTGTGGATACAGGTCAAGTAAATAAGAGCTATGTTATCTAATATTTAAATGGTTTTAAATCCCATAGTGCTGTAAAATAATGGTATTTAAGTAATCAAGAGAGTGAGGAAAACCAGTTGACTTTTATTGGACCAAAGAGTAAAACACAGTGATGTAATCGCTCTGTACTTTTATGCAGAACAACATTGACTACTGGTTATTTTTATAACCACATTTTTCTTTTTTTGATTCAGTTTGTTTTAAATGACCTGCTGTCATTCACTGCAGTTTCATTCATAGAACCACAATGATTCTCACTGGTGGGATCCAGTATTCTTTTGGGCACTTGAAGGAGTCCTAGGGGTACTACCTCTCTTTTTAGAGTGTATACTTAAATGGAATCCATGCATTAGTACTGTTATATTTTTAACAAGGTAAATTTGTTTTCAATAAAATAACACAATCCTACATTTATTGTTGGTTGAGCAGTAGATCCTTGTCTTCTAAATGTATTTTAGAACAGCAAAGTTTGTTTGGTTACCCTATAAAGATGGTCTGACCCAACCTGGCTTTTCCAGAGAACAGTGTTTTTCTTGAGTTGTCCTTTAAGGAAAAAAACTAACCCTGACACACAGAGGAAAGGCTTTGGAGAGGCTTTTTCATTAGCTTTAACATGTTGAAATGAGATCTCCTTTTGTCTAATAATTGTGATCAAAGCAAAGAAACAAATTAATAGCTTTTTATTTTTATTACATTTATATCTCTTCTTATAAATTATGTTAATTGCTTCATTTAAAAAAAAAATCGATAAGCCCAAAGGAGTGCTCTCTAAGTTAATGATTATTCATATTTATTACTTATAATATTCAATTATTTCTTTTTAGTCCAGATCAGTGACACATCCATGTTTTCAGTCTAATACTCTGTTAGTTAGAAGGTATTTGGATGGGGAAATAATCATACATTGCTGTAGAGTACATTGCTAAAAAAAGGTGGAGCCACTAATGATGTGAAGAAGTAATGGCTAGTCTGCAACCTCTCTTTAAAGTAGTTTATCTACCGTATGGATTCTGACTAGATCTATGCATTTCTTCTTTCTTTGCAAGAAGCAGTTTCTTAAGGAAGGAAACATGTTGAAAGACAGGGAGCAGTACAGGAGTCGCAGCAAACAGCTGAGCAGATACTGAGTAATTTCAAGGGTAATGAGGGGGGTAACTGCTGATGTTAGCCCGGTTTACTGTGTGTGTTTAACAGAGTGAGACTGAGCCTCCCTGCAAGCGTTTCTTGGGTAAAGGCCGTGGGCACGCCTAAGCTCTCTGAGATGATCTTGATCAACAAGGGAGTCAGCACGGGAAACCCAGCAATTTCTGCATGATCCTCTGTGACTCACTTGAGTTCCCCTCCCTCTCATGGGCAGACAGACCTATACGTGGCGGTTTGCATCTCGTTATCCCCATGCTGACTTGGTGAGACTGATACTTAAGGCTGGCACTCTGTGTCGGTGGGTGTCTGCACTACTGTCATCGCCACCAGCTGGTCATGTCTGCAAAAGGTGGCACTTCAGGTCAAGCCTCTTATGAAGCGGACAGATGAAGTCTGAGCATTGACCTGGCTTGCTTAAAGTGAGCAAACGGATTAATCGGAGAAGAAGCTCAGGAAAAAGAATAAGGCTGTGTGTGGGTGCTAGATTTTTATCCCAAACAGTGAGCCGAGTGGAAGGTTACCCCAAAGGCAAAGTGACCCAACACGCCCTGTAGAAGGCTGCAACTTCTGCTTGTATTTACTCAGTGTTTCTCAGAGGATGTGTTGTTTTCTATCCCTGATACATGCAGTGCAGGTTTAAAACACACCCTCCGCAGGTGAGGCAATAATAGGGTGTGGCTCATCTCTAACAGCCTCAGGACTGCTTACATATTCCCATACCACTCCCTGAATGTTGACACATCCTGGAAAACATTGAACAATTTTCCTAAATCTTGATGACAGACACAATAGTGTTTTGATCTTAAATGGATCTGCTGTAATGGTAGCAGGCAGGATCCCCAGATGTTGCAGCAGCTAAGCTTTGATGAAGGCAGATGCATTAAAGTTAAAAGTTTATGTTCTAAGAATTCAAGAAATATAACGTAAAGTTTCTAGAACTTGAGGACCTTTGGTTAAGATTGGTGAAGGTGTGCTGGAAAGAATGTGCTTGTTTTATGTTTGGGTGTTTCAGAGCACCCACCCTCCCCCACATGTTGCTGTGCACTGCTGGTTAGCTAGTTTAAAACAAAAGCTACTACATGTTGGCTTACTTACAAAAAGGGCCGATTTGGTCACCTAAGTGTTTTCCAATTGCTAAAAACATTGTTTTCTCATCACAATCCCTCATTAAATACAGTAAGCCACTCAAGACATGAGACAGACTTGCTAAAGTTCACATCAAACCTAAGAAATGGTGCATGGTGTTTGATGCCAGATAGGCTTCTCTGAGTAGTTCTAAAATTGCTTATTCATTAGGTTTTTTTATAAGCAAAACCATCTTTTCTGTTTACAATGGTCCGTGTGATTAAAGAATAAATGCCAACTGAGCAGCAGTTGTTTGGACAAAAAGGCCTTAGTAATTTGGAAACTAGGCTGACCTGTTTGAGATGATGGAAAATAACTGCAACTGAAATAAGCAGGCACTGTGTTTTGGAAAAC